TAAAAGATGATAAAACTTAATAAAAGCTCAATCAAATATAATTTTTTTATTAAAAATGATTTTGTATTTGAGTTGGGAAAAGGAAAACTGTACACGATTAACATAAAACGATATTAAATAAATTGTTATCGACATTGTACATATTATGACACATTGTTGGTATGTACACCGCACACATAAATCTAATTAACCCTGAAAAGGTCTCATGTCATGAGGTTGTAGGTTATATGTTCAACATCCTACAATACAAACAATAAAATTATAAAATAAACAGCAAAAAAGGTATTATTATTCAAAAATACATTGTTATTATTTATTAAATCCATTAGAGCTCGTGGTCCGATTGACCAAATAACTTATTTCAATTAATTAAATTTTATGTAAGGTATTGGTTGAGATAACATTATTATTTATGTATTTTTTATAATTTCAACTAAAAAAACGGTTAGTATAGTGAGTTTTGAGGTTGTTTTTTTAAACATANATGTACACCGCACACATAAATCTAATTAACCCTGAAAAGGTCTCATGTCATGAGGTTGTAGGTTATATGTTCAACATCCTACAATACAAACAATAAAATTTTAAACAAACAGCAAAAAAGGTATTATTATTCAAAAATACATTGTTATTATTTATTAAATCCATTAGAGCTCGTGGTCCGATTGACCAAATAACTTATTTCAATTAATTAAATTTTATGTAAGGTATTGGTTGAGATAACATTATTATTTATGTATTTTTTATAATTTCAACTAAAAAAACGGTTAGTATAGTGAGTTTTGAGGTTGTTTTTTTAAACATATTTTCTTTTCAAAAGGAAAAATGTAAGAGGTGTATTGTGTTTGATTGAAAAAGTCGATACCTGCCACGCCTGTCGAGGCCCTTTTATGAATTATTTACCCTCGCACTTAGTGTAAATTATTTGTAGTCAAGTGCTCACATAATTACAATATTCGCCTTTTAAAGTATTGAATTATTAACGATCCGCTAGCCGAAGGTTGAATTATAAAGTCGACGTTTCACACGTCAAACGGAATCGACGTCAGTGTGCAATGTTGTAAATGTTTGTTCATATCGGACATATTGAAAAATAAATGAATGTTTGGATAGTCGGATCAGACGATTTTCTCGTCAGGAATTAAACGCGAACGCAATGATCGAAGCAAATAACAAATCGCCCGAAACGCCTTCGTTTCTAGCCAAGTAAACATATGTAAAGTAGGTACAATATGAGAAATATATTAGAGTCGAGGGAATACTATATCTGCTAAAAAAAACAGCATTAAACATTATATATGACAACGACCATAAATAATAATGGCCGTTATTCTTCTATTTTCTTGCTTAAATGGCTGAGCTAGGTCAAATATTATTTTCCTTGTGAATAATGCAATAATTTATTTATTTACTTTTATCTATCTATCCGTTCCTTCGGAGTGAGGTGCGGCAACAAGTTCTCGTCAAACGGATACGAGCCGGTGTCCTACAAGGTTGCATTCTTGGTCCCATTCTTTATTTATAGGATTTAGAACCCTGTAAACTAATGCCAACAAAAATTGTGATGCCTTTGGAACGGACTTCACCGACCCGTAAGAAACTTAACAGGGATTTAGAACCCTTTAAAATAAGCGTAATGACAAAAAATTGTCATACCTTTTAACACCGGCTTTTTTTAGACAAATCAGAACCGGTGATATAAAATTTCATAATATAGGCAGTTTTATTAATTATGGAAATAAAAACTTAAATTCGTTGATATAGACTCAAAGAAGAAACCCCTTTTAACTATTGTAATTAAATTGAATTTGGATAAAATCATCCATCATGTTATGCATTTTTAAGCAAAACAATGAGACGTAGGTGCAAAAAAATAAGTAAAGTATTTACTTTTTAAAAAAAACTACATGGAATTGTTTTTTACCAAACCCCCTACAAAAAATAAAGAAATAAATAAAAAATGACAAATTAGATTCAACAATATCAATGTTCTAACAAAATTCCTTCCCCCCTCGACGAATCCAGCAAAAATTGAATTTGTGCTTCATTTTTATTGTTTCGATTGAGCCAAACCTATGAGTTTTATTATTTTATCAGAATTTTTAAAATGGTAAATTCATTATCGGCTTTCAAAAGCAATTATTTTTCCACTACCTACAAAGAGTGATAAGTATTTATAAATTATAATCCCATGTCTTTTACTGATTTTGAAACTGCATGAATTTAAGCTGTCAATAAAATAATAAATTAATTTAAAATAAAAATGCTATTAGGTTTCGTGGCCCAATTAACGGAATAAATTCTTTTCAATTAATTAATCCTTAATTAAGGTTTTGGTTGAGATAAAAAAGACAGCGCCGCGAGCGGGATTCCAACCCACGACCTTTGACTAAATACGTCGCTGCTCTACCACTTGAGGTCGTGGGTTCAAATCCCGCTCCTGACACTAACTTTTTTTATCTCAAACAACGCCTTAATTGATTGACCATATTAATTAATCAAATTATTGTTTTTATGTAAGGTTTTGGCTGAGATGAAAAATGAAATAAATCCCGCTCGTGGCACTGACTTTTTTATCTCAATCAATACCTTAATTAAAGATTAATTAATTGAAAATAATTATATAAAAATTCACTAATTTCGTGGTCCGCTTGACCAATTAATATATTACAATTAATTAAGGTTTTTAGTTGAGATAAAAAAAGTCAATGGCAAATTGAAAAATGGCAAAAAGGAGGGAAAATTCCAAAGGTGGGGTTGAGATGGGAAGTTGGTGTCCGAGTGGATCGAGGTCACGATAGCTCAAGTGGTAGAGCAGCGGCGTATCAAGCCGAAGATTGTGGGTTCCAATCCCGCTCGTGCCATTGACTTTTTTATCTCAACTAAAAACTTTAATTGTATTATATAAAAAGTTGAAATTCGTGTTTTGCACCCCTCCCCCCCAAAAAAACTATAATAATCATCCACCCACCGATTCTACATTTATTATGTCTGAAACAATAATTTAATAAATTCTAAGAATATTTTTATACTTGCAAACCATGTAGAGCATTAAAAATAGTTTCAAAGTTTGAAGAAGTAGATATATTACTTGAAAACTTAAAAAAAACTTGGTTCTCCATCAAAATTCGCCTTACCTTTTATCTATATGCAATTATCTAATCTCGTGTAATCCAATGAGATTTATTATTTTACGGAAAAACACAAATGATTTATAATAACCTATTGACCCATTGGTTTCAACTCGTCTAATACTTTTCGACCTAGTATCACTAAAAAAGTTACGTTGAAATCCGTGATCCTACGACTTTTGCCTCTCCTTGTTAGTTTCCTTGTTTACGACTTAGAACTTGATCTCTGAGCGAAAATACTCGTAAATAAATTTTACCATAAATTTATATTCGTTGTCGACATGGTTAACTTAATGTGTAAAAAAACTAGACCCCTCGAAAATGAAACCAGATATCCCCCTTGTTATTAAAAAAAAAAATACGGTACTAAATCATGTGTTTGAAAGTAATTTTTTGTATGTTTTATTTTCATTTCAAACATGGACAAATATTTCTTTCTTGTTTTCAATTTTTGAATTCGAGTATGACAACGTTTCTTTGTACTGTTTATAAGGAAAATAAATTTATAAAATTTTTGAGGGATAACACGAACCATAAGGAAAAAAAACCTTCATCAATCTTCGCTTTGATAGAAAAAGTTAAAAATTAATCCTACGATATAATAACCACGTTAATACAAAATTAATATTTTAAAGCTTTATCATATTTGCCTGGGTATAACAGTGGGCGAGCCCAATGTTACAATTAAGTCGAAGTTTAATCGTCCCATTATATCCTTCTAACAATGGAACATTAGTTGTAAGGTAGAAACACACACACACACACACACACACACACACACACACACACACACACGAAAAAAAGGAAACAATAAATACTCCTTTACCCTGACAACTTTGTCATTTACTGTTTGATAACCTCAACAGAAAAAAAATCATTGTTAATGTCACAAATATTGAACCTATCAACTTCTAACCCCACCCCCTCCAAAAACTCTGGCGCTAAAATTGATAATAAAATCCAAGTAAATTCAAAGTGGTCTCTCAGAATCGAAGGCACAACCGACTAAGAAGGTTATACTGGGTTCATACAAGAAGACTTACTTTTGGTGTCTGTCGGAGAAAATTTGCTCGAGGAGTTCTACTTAAATGAAGGTCGTTATTCCTTGACTCCATATAGAGAGCGAGTAGGAATGACATCCTATATTGGAATAGTGCTTCAACACAGCAACGAGTCGTTGGATCATCTGTTTCATTCCTTGATGGAACAGGGCGACTTAGGAAATGATTTGAAATATAAACACATAAGTAAAATTGTTCCATTTGATAACAATGTTAAATGCAAAATAAATTGGCCCTGAGAAGACCATGAGAAATTAATTAAAAGTAAATTACAAATTGTACCTTGTAGCAAAAAAAGGACTAACATTTTTTTCAGTCGTCACCGTCAATTTACATTATTTTACAATTATATGGAAAATAGTGAAACATGATTGTAAATATATGTAAAATAAACAAACGGACCCGCTACTAGGAGTTCTTCATTGAAGATGGCCCAATGACGAAACGTTTGAATAAGTCAAAAAACCCGCGTGACGGACCCAATAAGTCACCCAATGCAAAGAATCTTTTATAGATATAAATTTCTTCGAGTGGACGCCGAGTTGATAGCAAGATGAATATATATATATATATATCATCAGACCAACACATATACCGATTTTCAAGTGGACGTCCAGATTGCGCTTTGTGCCAATATTTGAACATTAATAATTCACGCACTTTCTAATTATTAATTTGTAATGATTGTTTGTATGTGTAACTGGGCGTGTATCAGTAACGGGAGTGATAAAAGGATATTTTAACGAGTTAAATGTCGGTATGTTGAATATTGAAACAATCATGTCTTTTAAGTAGCATGCTCACTAACCTGACTGCCAGAGGACTTGCACTTTGTAAATCCCCCTGGAAAAAGAAAAAAAAATAGTCAAAATGTTATTCAACATATTGTTATTCAATATTGATGTATATATATAATTTTAATTGAAGTGGTTTCATAGATTACAACTAATTAAAAGGGGTTAATTTGTAATTAAACACGGTCAATTTGACGTCAAAAATATTTCATTTGAAATTTTAAAACGACCATTTCATAGGGAAAAGGGTTAGTTTGGTTCGATGGAAAAACTACATATTCTAGGGTATAGAAATTTTCCTTCTTTTATACAATAAATACAAAAATGTATTTGTTAATATTGTTGTCCTTTAGAAGACAATATGGAAATTAATTTCATTAAAAATTAAAAATGATATAAAATGAAATATAAAATCAACTGGTTACCTTTTGAATTTGAATTTTTTAAATAAAAAATAATTTTACTTCTAAAAAAACACAATTTCTTACAGACATCAAATCACATTATTTTATTTTATATAATATTTAATTTTCATTGTAATTAATTTTAATATGGTCTTCTTAGAGCTCAATTTATTTTATGTCCAAAAATAACAAAGCTACAGTTTTTAATGTTTCAAACGAAATATCTAATTTGAAATTAAACCGGGTCAATTTGACGTTAAACAGGTGTATTTTGTAATTTAAAAAATTAATTAAATGGATAAATATTAAAAATTAAAAAAAGGCTTAATTTCCTCGGGAAAAGTGTTAGTTTGATTGAAAAAAGCCATACTTATTGTAGATTTCAGAAATTTTCATTCTTTTGTACTACAATTATAAAAAATTATATGTTAATGTTGTTGTCCTTTAGAGGCCATATGGAAATTATTTTGATTCAAATTAAAAACTATTAAAATGAAATTTAAAAAAAAAATTGGTTATCTTTTTAATTTGAACTTAAAAAATACTATTAAAAAGCACAAGTTTTCTCAGTTGTCAAATTAAAAGAAGACTCCTTTATTTATTTATTTATTTTTGTTAAAAAAAAAACACATTTGTAATTATGTCGGGTTCGAATGCAGGGCCGCTGGATTCGAACCCGGGACCTTTACCTTACAGTGATGAGCGCCGTGTCAACACCTAAACCCGCTCCACAAGAAGCCAATTAAAATTAAAACTTATATAAAATAAAATAATAATTTTATATAAGTTTTAATATTAATTGTAATTAATTTGCATGTGGGTCTTAAGAGACCAATTGTTTTATGCAAAACCAAATTCTCAAATTAAAAGGAGCATTATTTGTTTTTGTATTTAATTTTTATCATTTTAAATTTTAATTGTGATTAATTTTCATATGGTCTTCTAAGGGCTCAATTTATCTTATGTCAAAAAAATCTCAAAACTATAGTTTTTAGTGTTCTAAAGGAAATAAAATTGTGAAATTGAAAAAAACTTATTTGGATGGGAAAAGGGGTTAATTTGAAAGAAAAAAGCTATACAGTGTAGCGTATAGAAATTTTCTTTCTTTTGTAACAATAAAAATAAAAGTTTAATTTTATTATTGTGGTTGTCGAATAATATGTTTTAAGTGGATCGAGTTTTACTATGTGATCTACTCGGTTGTAAAAGATTCAGCGTCGGCAAACAGTTTCTGAACGGTTATGCAGGCCGAAAACGATCCATCTTCCACGTTATGAACCGTTAACGAAAAATCCCATCGGCGTAGGTGTCTTCGCCGCCTGGCGACAGGCCGATCCTGCCGATCAATCTTTCGGAAAATTGAAAAAGAAAAAAAAAAGAACACAACCATCCACAGCACATCACGGCAAAAAAATCTTCAAAAATTGGCGGAATTCACCTTCGAACATGAATAAAAATTTTACTCCGTGCACTTTGTTCACTTGCACCTCNTCTCTCTCTCTCTCTCTCTCTCTCTCTCTCTCTCTCTCTCTCTCTCTCTCGCTCGCTCGCTCGCTCTAGCTTTCTCTCCCACTGTCTTTCTCTACCTGCCTATCTGCCTTCCTCACTTATACATACTCTAATAAATATAACGATTACTTAATCACAATCCCGCATAGGGTGGCACTTTAGACTGCATCCCTAGTATCATTTCACCCTTTTATTCATTTTAAATCTTTACCCTATTAGCGCAGGTTTTCAGGGTTAAGAACTACTACGCTAGGTTGGGAAATGTAAAAGTTTTAGGATCTATCGACATCTAGGTCATTCCAACCCTTAACGATTGGATTTTTTACTAGTCTAAACCTTACCATTACAGCCTTGCACATTCTTAAGTAAATTTATTCCTATAAGGCCATACAACTAGGGCTATGAAGTACTCGCCATTCCTCCCACTTTAAGCCTATTATATAATTTATATAATTGAGTCCTAATGGGGTAGTCAATATTCTCTCTTAAATGCAAACTTTCAATGCACAGACATGTGAATCAAAACGATCTATATGAAATAAAACAGATGTTTACTGCAATAAACGGTCGCATTGCTACTCGCTCTCTATATGGAGCGAAGGAATGACTCAATTCAACTAAGTGGAATCCATCTAGTAGGGTGAGTGGGCAGAGTAAAGTTATATCTATTATCTTATTTCATACACTTCAGATCTTCCCAGTGATGTAAGGTTTTGGATCGTTCGGTATCTAGGCTGCAGTTTTTCTTATGTAAAATTTAAACAAATTTAATTTTAAATTGCACATATTATTTAACTAATCTAACTGAGAGGGTCGATTGGAAACTCATGAAGGAACACAATATGTGATATCATTTGTCTTGTTTCCTCCAAAAATCAGAAAAGGTGACCCAAAGATACGCTGCAGTGTTCAAACACGATTCCTTTATCGAAGATACTTACTCGCTCTCTATATGGAACCAAGGAATATAAGGCCCTGAAGAAATATTTTTTGTGAAATAGGTTAAATGATATTGTTGATCTACGGGTTTAAACCGAAATGTAAAACCTGAGTATATTTTGCGAAGTTGTGCGAGGGCAGACGATGGAAACTTTTCGAGGCCTGGAGTCGATCGATTATGATCAACGGGATTTGTTGAACTTTGGTGAAGTGGAAGGCGTAATTGTCGTTGTAATCGGAAATATTTATCCATTGAGAACAATGGAAGTTTTTCATGAGGAGGACGTGATTTGAAGATAAGTACGGCCCCGGGGAGATCCGGAGCGAGAGTGAGTCGGTCCGCGGACGCCCGAGTCGGAACGAGCCCAGGAGTGGGGATCCGACTCCCCACCAGGCCCGGGAGTTGGTGGGGGTTTCGAGGGGTGGCAGACAAGTCTCAGACTGCCGGCAGTGATCTAGTGTGTGTTGTGCGCTAGTGCAGTGTGTTTGTGAGTGTTGTGGATCGATAGAAGGCGAAGAGAAAGGCAGCAAGTCGTACCATGTCGGCAGGCACCTGACATGGAAACGCTCATGGGACAGGTGTACAATCCGCACCTGAAGAAAGTGCTGAAGACTTACCAACTTAGCGCTCCGAAGAGTCTACAAGGGCCGAGCACCGTCCTCACGGAGGTGACGAAAAAGGAGCCGGCGTCCGAGCCGTCGCCCGAACCGTTCACGACACCACCTCCTCTCCCGATTCAACAACTGCCCATCCTCACGGCTCCGGACAGGTCGCCGAGCCAGCGCTGCGAGACCGTCCTCCACGGAGAAAGGATCACGTGTTTCCTGGTCGGTGGGGAAAAGAGGCTCTGCCTCCCTCAACTCCTACACAGCATCCTGAGGGACTTCAATTTGGCCCAGATCAACCAGGTTTGCGACTCGCTCCAGATCTTCTGCTCCAGGTGCAACCCGGAACAGTTGGACGAGCTCAAAGAGACCAACATATTGCCTAAAACCGCCCCTTCTTGCGGGCTCATCACGAAAACGGATGCGGAGAGGCTCTGCAGCACTCTGCTGCACAGGCCGGTCGCCGCGCCTAGGGGTCTGGCCAAGACCGCCCTCGGGTTCAACGTCTATCACGAGTGCTTCGGCAAATGCAAGGGCGTCTGCTATCCGGAACTATTTTCCGACGCGGAGGCCCGCTGCATCGAGTGTCTCGAGTGCCACGGTCTCTACTCCCCTCGACAATTCGTATGCCACGGGCATAAGTCTCGCGAAAACAGGACATGCCATTGGGGCTTTGACTCGGACAATTGGCGTGCTTACCTCCTCCTCAGTCAGAACCAGCCGGATCTCGAGACGAGGGAAAACCTCCTGGAACTCTTCAAGGAGCAGCATTTCAAAGGATCCACGGGAATAAAGGTAAATCCACTCTCTAACCTCAGCGAAAAACACCTTTTTTTCACTATAGCGCCATCAAGGCCGAACGAAAAGGCCGAAACGTCAAAAACCCCACATCGTTCACGCCTTTCTCACGAATCATTCACAAAACTCTTTACAATTTATAAATAAAACTACTAGAAAATAAAGCTAAATTAGGTACAATACTCCACAACAACAGTGGAAAACTTTATGCTAACAAAGTCATATAGTATAATGTATAAATCGACAAGTTAACACGATCTTAACACGTCTAGTCTTCCTTTTTTGTTTAAAATATAGAAATAAAATTACATTTTCGCCTTATCTGCAAACACGTCTGAGGACGACCGTACCGACTTTAAGATAGCATTGAAGTAAACAAGTTGTTCACCTATTTATAGGCTAGCCAATCGCCGCCGATAGTCCTTGTCTTGCCAGTTTTAATACGAGCGAAGCTTACCAAACCTAATTTTTTTATAAATCAAAATCCACAAAATAAAAAATATAATATAAAAAAAAATAAGCGAAATGAGTGATTATTCGAAGATAACAACCGGGTGCTTTACTCGGAAAGTCCTTAATCCAAGTGAAGCTTCTCGGTATCTTCAGTGATGATTTTCTAGATCAAAACCACGTAAAAACGTGCCTGACACAAAACTCAAAGACCTCAACCTTTTGTTTTTAACTTGTAATCTATAAACATTTCGGTGGTTCGTCTGTTTGTTATTTTGTCACAGATTCACTTTTCTATGTTTAAATACAACCAGATAGGTTTTTAAGCTGATAGTCCGCTTTTTGGCCAACCCTTCTTTGTTTTGCCAGACTCGTTCGTCTTCTCGACATCTTCAGTGATGAATATGTAGATTAAAATTACTTAAAAACGCGTCTAACACGCCAAAACGGCATTTTTTATTATTATTACTATTATTATTCTTTTTTTTAACTTTTTATTTTTAAAAAACACTTACGAAGTGTTGGTTATAAAGGCCACTTTTGCGCTGATATTTTCTGGTCCGCCAGACCCCGCTGTTTATACTATAACACCCATTTTCTTCGTCTTTCCATTCTCATCAGCATATTCTCGCTGACTTAGAGTTGTTTTGATCTACAGAATTTTCACTGAAGATGTCGAGAAACCATGAGATGTGAGATTAACCAATAAAATAATATAATAGCGCGGAGACGAACCAGAGAAATGCTTTAATAAGTTGCAGGTAAATAAAAATCATAACAGTCTTGGTTTGGCCATTCAGACGTGTTTTACGCGGTTTTTGTCCACATAAACATCACTGAGGATGCCGAATAGCCGAAAGGAGACCGACAGAACGTATAGATCCGATTATCGTAAGATTATATAATACAATAACATACAGATAAACCTCAGAAATGCTTTTGCACGTTGTAAGTATAAACAATTGATGTTTTGTTTTGTGAGACGCTTTTTATAAAGCGATTTTGGACGATATAATCATCACTGAAGATGTTGAGAAACTGAAAAAATAGCATGATGACCTATAAATTAAGAAAATAATATTATAGCGAGCAACGAACCAAAGAAATGCTTTTGTAACTTCAGGTAAAACAAATATTTTTCGCCGATTTTTAAGTAATTTTGGAGTTCATAATGATTACTGAAGATGTCGAGAAACTGCGCCCGTCATTACTTGTAGGCCAAGTCATTAATAATATGAGTTGAAAACAAACAACGAACCAAAAAAATACTTTCATGAGTTACGAGAAAAAACAAAAGGATGTTGGATTGTTGTTTCAGGCGCGTTTTTAAATATTTTAATCCACGTAATCATCACTGAAGATGTTGAGAAGACGAAACTCATCTGGCAGTACTCATAGGTCAGATCATCACCTAATAATATTATTCAAGAACACACAGACGAACCAATGAAATGTTTTTATAAATTTTCAGTGATACCAATATAATGGAGTTTTGTTTTGACGTGTCTAACGCGTTTTTATGAGGTTCCCGTCTACATAAATATCACTGAAGGTGTCGTGAAGCTGGAAAATATTCTGTCGGAAAAGAGTGAGTATAGGCCAGAATGATCAGAAAAACAGGACTACAAAATCATAGATTTGTTTTTAACTTATATATTTCTATTATGGGAGTGACCATAAAATGAATACGGCGAAAAGCTTCTGAATCACTAAAATCACCAGGATAGGCGGGCAAACATTTTAGGATACTATCAAACAATAAAATATTTATATACAGTTTTTCATGTTGAGATCAATCTGACGTCCTTGAAAGTTAACACGTTCTACGTATGTCATGAACCTTTTACCTTATATCGCAAATTAAAAAATATATATATTATTTGGAGATCGTGAGGTGCGGTCTGGTGTGACATACGTTTTAGAATCTGGTCTGACGTACGTTTTAGAAAAACATTTTCTTTTCATGCCAACGTTTCGATCTTTATTGAGCTCAAAGTGTTTGTTTTCCGTGTAGATGTGTCATTCTTGAATGTCGTGATCATGTTATAATGACACATCTACGCGGAAAGCAAACACTGAGCCCTGAAGATGATCTCAATTAAGATCGAAACGTTGGCACGATAAAGAAAATGTTTTGCTAAAACGTACGTCACACCAGACCGCACGTCACGATCACCAAATAATCATTGGCTAACGGTCACTAAACACTACACATTTCTACACGAAAAAAAATGTTGAAAACTCGTTGCGCACAATTTGTAGAGGATAAAGATAAGAAAACGGAGATAAGATCATTTTCAGGGTGTACGACCTGCGAACTGATTGGAAAATTTTTGCATTTTTTTGTTTGTCAGCGCGGAAAAGAATTTTCGTCCTTCCTCGTTACGCGGATTATTTTTCTGGGAGGGTTTTTAAAACGAGAATTTTTCACTGTTTCGATATTTTTAAGCGCGAGAGCAGGAGATTAGAGGGCAGATTTTAAGATTCTTTTTAAGAAATTGTTTATTTAGTATTTTTTAAAACTTTTGAATTAAACAAGCGAGAAAATTAAAAGGTTAAGCCTTTGATGTATCAGTAAGTTTATGAATCCGTCAAAACGAGTGTATAACGATTCCCCCCCCCCTAGGTTTTCTAGTTGGAATATTAAAGTTTTGATTGTAGGGTGTTTTGATGCTAAGTCGGAACATGACCACGATTTCGTGAGGGCTGACAAAGGAATTCCGTCCGAAAGATCTAGGAAACAAACAACAAAAATCTGGCCAAATTAGGATTACAAGACGATTATTCAGAATTCCCGGAATGTTCGGATTTGGCCACGGAGACAGAAAATTTCTCCTCTGTTCGATCTTTTCTTGTTTTCGGGCCAGTTCTAAAATAAACGCTGGCTTTTTACCCTGTGCGATTTTTTACACAAGGACAATAATTTTGTGGGATTAATTGTAAATAAAGTGGATGGAAAAAGACCTACAATCATCAAATAGCCTTCCCATTTAACATTACACATCGCTAAGTGTGTTCATACCTCATAATTCTGTAGAACAAGATAAATCACAACTTTTCGCTACATAGTTAATTCGGTCAAAAATTCTATCAAAATAAAACATGGTAAATCTGGACATTTCAACTCTGATTCTGGCCTGCCTATCCAAAATCTTTTCCGTCAGAAGATTTTTCAGCTTCTCGACATCTTCAGTGATGATTGTATGGATAAAACCACATAAAAAACCCGTCTAATGTGCCAACCCAATACGCATTTTTTGTTTTACGTGTAACTTATAAAAGCATTTTACTGGTTCGTCTCTGTGTTATTACAATATTATTAGATAATAACCCGAGTACTGTCAGATAGGTATCGGCTTCTCGACATCTTCACTGATGATTATATGGACAAAACCACATAAACAACGCTTCTAACCGATACGCCCTCATTTTTGTTTTACCGGTAACTTATAAAAGCATTTCACCGGTTCGTCTCTGTGTTATTACAATATTATTAGATAACCCGAGTACTGTCAGATACGTATCGGCTTCTCGACATCTTCAGTGATGATTATGTGAACCAAAACCAATCAAAACCGCGTCTAACTGGCCAAACCAATACGCCCCAGTATTTATTGACTGTAACATACAAAAGCCTTTCTGTGGTTCGTCTGAGTCCTTTATATTATGAGTCTATAACCTGGTCTAGAGATACTGCCGTAGAAGTGTTTTGGCTCCTCGACATCTTCAGTGATGACTATGCGTACTAAAACCCCTACACACCAAACCCAGACCCTATCATTTTTGTCTTAATTATAATTTATAAAAGCATTTCTGTGGTTGGTTTTTACTTATCAAATCGTATGACCTGGTTTTGTAGGTTTTTCTACTTCTCGACATCTTCAGTAAGGATTATATGGACAAAACCACTTTAAAAACGCGTCTAATAAGCCAAACCAATGACGTCCGTCATTTTTGTTTTACCAATACTTTATAAAAGCTATTCTTTGGTTCGTCTGTGCGCTGTTATATTATATTATTCGAAAATAACCGAATCCTGTCGATTTTTCAGCTTCCCTACATCTTCAGTGATGATTATGCGGACTGAAACCCTACACACTAAACCGAGAACCTAGTGTTTTGATTTTAACTATAACATATAAAAGCATTTCTTTCTATGCTTTGTTTGTTTGCTATCGTTATATACTATGAGATGATGACCTAGTTTATATGTTTTTTCTGATTCTCAACATCTTCAGTGGTGATTATGTCGACTGAAAAACCTACACACCAGACCAAAAACGTATTATTTTCATTTTAACTATTAACTTATAAAAAGCATTTCTTTCTATGCTTTGTTTGTTTGCTATCATAGTATATTATTAGAAGATGACCTAGTTTATGTTTTTTTTCTGCTTCTCGACATCTTCAGTGATTATTATACGAACTGAAAACCCTACACACTAAACCGAGAACCTATTATTTTCATTTTAACTATTAACTTATAAAAGCATTTCTTTCTTTGGTTTGTTTGTTTGCTATCATATTATATTATTAGATGATGACCT